TAAGCGTCGTGTCCCTACTGTCTGGAGCCTGCAGACCCTGCAATCAGACACGGAGACCTTATTCCAGAACAATTGCCTTCTATGAGAGCTTATTACCGAGAGTCCGTGTCTCTGAGGATGCTCGCCAATAGCACAAAGCAAAACACTCCTCCTAATTCCTGCACAACGAGCCACAATTTTGCAGACGCTCGCTGAGCGCTTATTCAGATTTCAAAAACCACTTTGGGGACTTAGGGCCTGGGATGGGGGCATCCCGGCGGGCGGGCGGGCAGCAGTAAAGCCTTGTGTTGCTTAAGCCCATCCTGAGCCGGCCCAGAGACCTCCCCCGGCCACCCTGACAACCTGGAGATTGAGTTAAACACGAGTCCAAGCAGTAGCCGGAGCTCATGGTTCACCGCTTATTTTGGTGTTAAAGTTGGGATTTTATTATCCTGCCGGTGACGGGAGAGACACCTCCGGTCAATCCTTTATTTCTAAGTCGGGATAACATGGCTGCCAGCGGGTGTGACACCAGGTACACGTGTGAAATGCCAGCTGGCCTGGCGAAGCAATTGCGCCCGCCGGAGGGAGTGTGTTCCCCTGCTCTCCTGGCACCTCCCTCAGACAATTTGCTCATGGGTCTCTGCAAACTCACCCTCTTAGTTAAGAAAATGGGGCCAGAGGCAGCCTGTGTGCAATCTTTCCACGCCTTCTGGCTGCATTTTAGTATTTTTCCTTAAATGAAGCGGTCAGGCAGCTATTCTGATTGGGGCGTTCTCAAACATTTGAGGCAAGTTTAAATATTCCTAATTTTGGGGTTATAGCTTTGGTCCTATAGAATTTCTTCTTCTTTTTAAAAAAATATATTTTATTGATTTTTTACAGAGAGGAAGGGGAGAGAGACAGAAAGCTAGAAACATTGATGAGAGAGAAACATCCACCAGCTGCCTCCTACACACCCACCACTGGGGATGTGCCCACAACCAATGTACATGCCCTTGACCGGAATCAAACCCAGGACCCCTCAGTCTGCAGGCTGACGCTCTATCCATTGAGCCAAACTGGTTTTGGCTAGAATTTCTTTTTATTAATTATTATTATTATTATTATTTTCACTCATTTCTTCAGCCAGTCAAATTTCCATTGCGGGTCAGTGATCCCTGTGCAGGGTGTAACTAAACGTGGACACATTGCTTTTGTGCTGGTTTAATATTATTATTAGTCTGCTAATTGATGCTTAGAAAGGTACAAACAAGTTAAAAGCTTGGTAGAAGGAAGTGAGATTTAACCTGATTCTAAATGACACCGGTTACTGGGGAATCTTTGTAGCCAGGCGAGGGGAAGGCCATAGACAAAGGAATGGAAACAGGGAAACCAGTATGGGCAGAAAGAAGGGATTAAGGGATAAGCAACAAGAGACCCATGAAAAAATATGCTATTTGATATCTACATGCTCAGCTAGACTCCTCAGGCAGCATTCACTTACAATAATGGCAAATAGCGGAAGAGGGTTGGTGGGAGAGAATCATCTTTGAAAGAAAAGCAAATGCAAGAAAAAGCATTTGTTTTCTAGCATCCAAAGGTTTGGCGACGTTAGGGAAGTAACCAGGACATAAACTTCAAAACATAGAGCTATTCCACCTTCTGGGAAATGTTTTACCCACCACAAGCCCACTTGCTTTTTAAGGAACATGTAAGATGGACATATCTCAAAACCAGACAGCTCTCTGGCTTCCCTCAAAGTTCTCCTTTTCAGAATGCAATTCTGAAATCGCTTTTGGTCTTGTCTCAAGGAAAATCCTGTTTGTGAAATGGGTCTCTGCAAACTCACCCTCTTAGTTAAGAAAATGGGGCCTGAATTTCCTCCCTGAATTTCCGGGATCTGGAAAAAAGTGGAAAGACTGTTTGCTTTTGTGTAATCAGATTCTCTGCAATTTAATCTTCTATCCTATTTATGGCTGAGCTGGCCATTCAAAATTAAAATGAACCTTTCATCCGTGTGTATCATAAATGGGCATTTATCAGGATATGATTTTGCAATCCGGCGGAATACGTAACCAGAATTTGTTTTCTTTCCGTTTCACTATGTAATTACCAGGCAACAATAACAAAAGTGACATGTTTGAAGCACAGATAAAATGCTGTAAATTGGCCAGTAATGGTGATATTTCCTCATCTCTTGAAAAACCCATTTATTCTCTCTCTCAACAAATCAAGGCATTGTCAGCCCACACTCATCTCCTGGCTGGAGGGGCTCCACCAATTTCTCCAGGGGAGCCAGCCCCGGAATGCAGATGAGGGCCCCGAACTAAGGCTTTCAGTGTGGGCAGCCGGGCCTAGCTCGCCTCAATTTCTAAATCACCCATAATGGGGCCAAGACCTCCCAGCACTAAAAAGAGCGAGCTGACACACTGCACAAACTGTTAATTTTTTTCCTGAAGAAGCTGCTCTCTATTGCACATCTGTCACTGAGGCGCGACAATTACTCCCCAAGTGGCGAAATCTGCTGCTAGCTGCCTGGGTAGGGGGCCGCGTGCAGAGCCCGGTGGCAGGGTAGTCACCAAAGGCTGGTGTCCCCAGGCTCAGCGATGCTCTTCTCATTGGGAAAGACTGTCGCGTGGTATTAAAAAATATTAGTGCCCTGCTGCACGAAATTCGTGCACATTAAAAGGGAATTAGAGGAAATATTTTAATGTTTCTTTGTGCCCTTCATCTAAAATAGAAGTGTCAGAGATAAAAGAAAATTAGTAAAATGCATATGAAAATCTCCCTTCTGTCAGAATCTGGGGTGCACCAGGGGACCTAGAGTCAAGTCCCCGCCCATCACCCCCACTCGATTTGAAAATCCAGGAGATCCAGCCCCTGCCAGCCCCACCCCTATCAAGTTCCTCTGGGCAAGGAGGCAAAGCCTCAGGTCCCCCATCCCGGCACAGGGAGGGGGGGGCGTGGCCTGAGGACCCCCGTCAAGCCCTGCTGGATGAGGAGTGGGACCTGAGGTCCCTTACCTTGGTCAGGTGCCATGCAGCCTCAGTACCTGCTGTTGGGTCGGGATGTTACAGTGCCGTGGCTAATTTGCATATTCCTCTACTATATAGATAGATCTGACGTAGCCCAGCTGGCATAGCTCAGTGGTGGAGCATTGACTTATGACCCAGGAGGTCACAGCTCAATTCCTGGTCAGGGCACATACCCAGGTTGCAGGCTCTATCCTCAGTAGGGGGCGGCAGGAGGCAGCCAATCAATGATTCTCTAATCATTGATGTTTCTCTCTCTCACTTTTGCTTCCTCTCTGAAATCAATAAAACATGTGATGCAGATGAAGATGTGTGGGGAGGAAGTCAAAGTGGTCCAGGAAAAGGACAGGTGTATAAAGAATCAGGAGGGATCAAGAGCCAAGCCTTACAGGATGCAGAACACTGTACTTCCTGCCAGGGACCTGTAGACACCACAGCCACTGTATTAGGAATATTCAGGTTTCACACCTTGACTGTGTGCTCCCCAAGGCTTCCCAGCCATTCAGAACATTATTTTGTGAATTCCATGCCTTGTACATGCAGCATGGGTTACCCACCGTTTCCATAGTGAATGATATCCATCAATGAAGAACCACAGGTTAGCCAGGCAGCCTCCTAACAGAACCTTATATCATTTCCCCACTAAATTTACCAGCTCATTTAACTATGGCATTTGAAGAAATTCACCTCAATAAGGGACATAATAATGTGATTGTGTTTGGAAGCATATTTTAAGTATATATGTTGTTACAATAGTATACTATTTCTCATCCTTTCTGCTTTTATTAAAGAACTAGAAATCCAGTGCATGAATTCGTGCACAGGTGAGATTTGGCTGGCCCCATCCCCTGATCAAACTCCCAGTTGAGGGGACAATTTGCATATTAGTCTTTTATTATATAGGATAGAATGCTATCCTTAGAAAGAAATGATCATTTCTTTGAAAGGTAGTAGAAGATGAAAACAGGTGGGAAATAATTTTGGGAGTTCCTTTCACTTAGAATGCTGTCCTGACTCCATCATCATATAGCTGAAAAATCAAGTTTTATACACATATTTACAACGCCAGCAACTTATTCTGAGAATCCAAACTAAAAAAAACACCCCTACAGACTAAACAAGCCTTCACTTGCTCCCTAATTCCATCCTTGAGAGACTAAGGACTAAGGAGGAAGCACAGGACATGTGGGTGACGTTCCAGGAGTGGGGTCTGTGAATGTGAGAAAGATTTAAACTGTCTGACAATTCAGAGATGGAAGACAGCCCTAATGTACAGATAAAACCCAAAGTGAAAATAGTCCATCATGCCGCTGGCAGTCAGTGGCACTGACTCGCTGGAGACAAATCTGGATCTACTTAAAATGTCAGGTGAGCCAAGTAATGAGTCTTCGCTAAGTAGGCCCCAGCAGAAGGAGCCTTCATGGTCCGCTTGGCAGTTGAGTATATATTACTGCAAGCCTGTTAAATAAATGAGTATTTAATACCTATTGGATTACAAAGATACCCACTTACTCTAACAAGATCTACTTCGTTTTTTTAGGGAGAAAAGATAAAATGTTATCGTCACAAGTGAGATGCTTCCTGCAGCAAACAGAACTCAACGCTGTGGTGAGTGATATAAAATATTTAAAATATCCAAGCATGTTTATGAGAAACGTAATTTTCCAGAAGGAGATGGAGTGGCTTGTGATGTTTCAAGTGGCCAGAGAGAGAACCTGTGCTTGCTATTTGAAATCCTAGAATCTTTGAGTGGATGGAGACCTAAGCCAGCTAGTCAGTCTAGCCCAGCTTCAGAGAAAACAAACAAAAACAGGACAAATATGTGGTAGAAACAGTTCCTAAAATGCTGAGAAGAAATGGAAGTCAAACATTTGTTTAGCCATGTTTTTATCTAAAACTTTTTTAAAAAACAGACATTTTCCAGGGCTTAAAGATGAACAATGAATTTAAATGCATCGTTGGACGTTAATGGTAAATGGGTAGCAATTTAAAAAGCAATTTAAAGTATTTTCAACTTTATTTTTTATTACTTTTAGAGGGAAACAAAGCACAAAGACAATGACTTCTTATAAATAACATTCTTAAACATTAAGTTTATTCTTCGGTTCTTTGTTGTACTATTAATATAGCTTTCTACCAAAATAAAATAAAATAAAAATCCAAAATATTCCTTGCTAAACAACTTCATTTTACAATACCAATTTACATAATCTTTTTAAAAAAGAAAATGTACAGGAAGCAATGGTTGCTAAAAGCATGTCAACAATTATTTTTTTCTTTTATGAGACATCTGCTCAAAATGAAAATATATTGAAGAGAAGCAATTGTCAGTTCAATTAATTACAAGAGTATCAATTCACAATGTTAAAACAGACATTAATAAGATGCAATGTTTTGCAATTATGTCTGTATGTTGCATATGCGTGCTCTGTCAACACACACATATGTATACATTATGTTTATCTTTAACCCTATTGTCTTCTCTTTAATAGTCACAATACGAATTATAAAAATATGTGTATTCAAAAGCTGAGCCCATTTAATTGGTTAAATTCTAGTTAGCAGTGGAATTTTTTTTAAAAGGGTACCATATAATTTAATAATGAAAACCAACAAATCTAAGGGGAATATAGCCTTAACAAGTAAATTTGAGGAAAGGGAAAGAGGGAAGGAAAGAAAGAAGGAAGGAGGGATGGAAGGGAGGTAGAAAAGGGGAGGAGGGAGAGGAGAAAAAAGAAGGGTGAGAGGGAATGGCCCTAGCACACAGGCTGGCCAGTATCAAGTATAATCCTGTATAATAAAGATGTAATATGCAAATGGTCAATACACCTTGAAGTAACGACCAACTGCGTAACGACTGGATCACGGATCAGCAGGATGGGATGAGAGCTACAGGAAGGGGCAGGGCAGCAAGCTGAGGGGAGGCAGGCAGAAGGAGCTATAGGACAGCAGCGAGCTACTGGCGCACAGATTTGTGTGCAGGGCTACTAGTAAGTACATAAAGACAAAAAGTTGAATTGCTAATTCATGCTCAGCCTCTCTTGGCTACTGCTGGAGAATGGACAATTTGGACAGTAATGGGAGAGACCGATGCGCTCCCTAAAATTTTTAGCACTACCAATTAGTGTGATAGGAAGCTTTGGCTACTGTAGAAGAGCTTTAAGAAGGAGCAGCGAAAAATCTCACCACCTTTGTAAGGAGATATGGATGACAAGTTCTTCATTATAAATTGCTTTGGGCGCTTTGGGTTCCATAGGCATAGTAACTGGTAAAAAGTGAACTATAACTATATATAAAACAAATAAATTAGTGGACTTTATACTTAAAAGATAATTGATTTACATTAAAAGTTCCATGTTTAAGTTGTGCTTACTTCTCCCATTAAGATCAGGTACAGGCAGGATGTCATGTGTCTGCATTGCTATTCTTTAAGGACCCAATGGTGCAGGGTCATGTGCGCTTCTGGTGAATGTCTGTGAGAGCAGAAGTGGGGCGGGGGAGGGCGGATTTGGTGGGGGAAGGCTCCTGGACATCACCACTTGTCTACTCTGGGTGTGGATTCATGGATTCCATGTAGTTAAGCACTTCCATGGAAGAGGAATTACTTTAAGTCCTCAGCGAGCCACATAGAGGGCGCTAAAAGCCAAGAGTAAGCTTTTCTCCTATCAGCGGTACCAATAAAGATGGATTTTTATGGTTGGGGGCGGGTGTGTGTGTGTGTGTGTGTGTATGTGTGTGTGTTAGAGGACCACACCCAGGTTAAGGGAGCATCTAGAAGATTGGGACAGTTGAAAAGACAGTAAGAAGCATGCATGAAGGCTGCAGTCTTTACCTCAGGGGCTCTCTGGCCACTTGTTTATGGTCCGCTCTTCCCTTAGGAGTTAGAGCAGATGAAGTGAAAGGACCCGCCACATTCACAGGCGTCTGGGGCCAGTCGCCTGATAACCTTACTGTGTGTGCATCAGTGGCTCCAAATGAGATGGATTTTCAAAGTGCCAGGATTTTAGAAAAGCTTAAGATCTTCAGAAAATACTGGGGTTTAAAGAAGTTTTTAGACCACTATCTGGACAATCTTTCCCAGCTTTCCCCCTTTACATCCAAGAGGAGTATTTCACAAAAAGCACTCTTTAAAAATGACAGTTTTCTAAGTACCAAGCTTGTACAAAATAGCAGTTACTTCACCCAATAAGAATGCTTCCAAAGATCAACTCCCCTGGTAGCCCATAGTTCCTCAAGTCAAACTGTCCTCTTACCACAGTACCCCTAAGAGGGAAGATGATGCTTACAAAATGTGTACATTTGGCAAATCACCAGGCTTTCCAGGGGCAGGCTGGACTTCCTCTCTCTAATTGGTGGTGTTTTCTTTGGGTACCACTCCCGTAAGGTCTATGACACACACAAAACCCTCTCCCTCCTTTAAAAATCTCTTGGGAATTTACAGATTTTCAACAACCTATTAGAGTAGAGCACAGAGAACTTATAGCACCATACAGAGTAGTAAAACTACTCTGTATGGTGCTATAATGTCATTTATACATTTGTCCAAGTCCATAGAATGTGCAGCACCAAGAGTGAACTGTAATGTGAACTGGGCGATGGTGATGTATCAGGGTAGGTTCCTCTGCTGTAACAAAGGTACCACTCTGGTCAGGGATGTTGATAACGGGCGAAACTGGGCATATGTGGGGGTAGGGGTATCTATGAGAAATCTCTGTACCTTCACCTTCATTTGGCAGTGAACCTAAAACCTCAAGACCTTAAAAACAAAAAACAAAACCTCTAGCAAGGAGATTCACATGTGTGATCTTGGTCTTTACTTAACCAATAAAGGCCATTACAAATAGAATATTATTATTGGTCATTACCAATGCAGGAGATGACAAATCGGCATCTTCTAAACTAAGGAGCAATTTGAATCTCTAACATTACGAAGCAGGTGATTCAGACATAAGACTACCAGGCACATAATAAAAATGACTTGCTTTGCTTGGTTTTAAAGAAACTGCTAAGATGTGAAAAGGGCAAGTAGGTTCCATTCATTTTTGTTCACCTTGTAAATGGGTTGGCTCATTGCCTGACATTTGAATTCTTGGGAGAGCCATTTATATCTTCAAATAAATGGGTTCAATATTCTAACTTACACCAATGGTTACATTTTAAAATTAGTTTACTACAGTTGAGTTGATCTTTAAAAAAAAAAAAAAATCAACCTTTGGGAAGAGAGAGGTAGAAGTCAGTCTAGATTAATAGAATTTATAGTTCTAAATTCAGGATGAATTTAAAAAATACATTTTTCTTTCAATAATTACTTTATGTTCTAAACGAGGTAAAATTTATAAACACGCACTAAAGTGATGTTGAGGGCACTCTGGTGATAATAGGGATGAGGTTTATTTTTGTCAAAACATCAGAGGGATACGTTCATTGCAGTTGGTCAACTTTGAACTTCACACTACACTGTCCAAGGTCAGAAGACAAATGGGTATCTCTCCATTAGAGAATCCTCACACACACACACGGACTTACTCACAAATGCCAAACTCAACAACTATGGAACTGACACATCTCCCAATCACAGATTCACTTAGAACCTCACTGATGGGTCTTCTGAGTCACCCTCAATCAGGGTGATGGAGACACAACCTCCCTGGCCTGTCCCATCTTAGAAACCCTTGGATGCACTCACATTTGCCCGGACCTCACACACACACACACACACACACATATGAATGAATCAAGCTTAAAAGCATCAGCCATTACTGACATTTGCGATCAAAATAAATAAGAGGGATGATTTGTTCTTTATACCTAAAAACAGCCGAAAGTTGCTGGCAACATTAAAGGGATGGTTTGAACTTGAGCACCAGGAGCTGTGATGAAAGCGCAACTCTGTCGCCGCGGTAGGACTGGATGCGGTGAGGAAGCTGGTGTGCCAGGTCTGAGGCCTTGCCGGTTTGTGCTCCATGAACAGAAGCTGTGCTGTAATCTCAGAACAATGGGACACAGAGCAAGCGAAGCAAAACTGTGAAGGGTTTCTTCTCAGGCGGATGTCCCCGAGGCGGGGATCGGGGTGCTGGGGGCTGCGGGAGTGCTATTTGGTAGCGGAAATCCAAGTCCCAATCCCTTTGGCCTCTGCATGGCTTGAATGGGCTCGGCCAGTCCCTTGCCATCACGTCCGAGGCCCGAGCCAGGTGTCCAGCCCATATTCTGGAGCATGCGGTTCCCTATGTTGTTTTCTGAGATGGGCTGGGCGTTTTCTCCAACGAATCCTGAAAAGGTAAAATGACAAAGGCTATTAGTTCTGACACAGGCGAAGGTCCTCTCAGGCCAAGAAAACCATGTTCTCTTCAGTTTTTCTTTCATAGAGGCACCTGGGAGGGAATCTCTTACTTACAAAAAAAAAAAAGCCTTGTGTCAAAATACTTACCTAATACATACAAAACCTACATAATTTTAATAACTAACTAGTGGCCCAGTGCATGGATTCATGCACACTGAAAGCAAATTAATTAGAAGAAGTATTTTAATATCACTATTTGCCCTTTCTCTATAATAGAAGTGTCAACCAAATTCATGATCCACAATGACACATCGAAACACATGCATATGATTGGCACTAGCAAGAGCTTTATATATATAGATATAACTTCCTTAATTAGACCTGCTTTCTGATTTAGCCAAACTTTCTCCAGCCCAGTGAAGCACCCCAACTTCTCTTTCAGGTAATTGTCAGAAACACAACAGTAAATATCCACATGAAGCAGATTATTATTGTAGATCACTCAGGGAGAACAAAGGGTAAAATATTTAACTGTGGCAGTGTTTGACCATATTCTGCACCATGAGAAAACCTGAAGTCATTTTCAAGGTCCACCATATCATCTTACTACTTTTCAGTCAGGTCAAGTTCCTAAACTTTCTAAATCTCTGTTTTTTTGGCTAATGAAAAGAAAATAGGATTCCACCAAGTCTCCTATCTACCTACTCCAGGACTTCTGTGAGGATCAAATAAGATGAGGCAGGGGGAAATGCTTCACAGATATTTGGTCAAAGTGTAAAATGTTTCCACCTGGCTATTAAACAAGTTGTGTTTCTGGGCTGAAGAAACTCTAAGGAGGCTAGTCACTAGGGAGAGGAAGCCGGGCGTTGCTATGTGACCTCATTACCTGGCACCCACATCCACCATTTCTGGGTTGGGCTAGGCTGTGGGCTTCATTTTGCACCATGGGGTCTGGGCAGTGTGGGCTGTGATTTGGTGCAGGCTCCAGTGTGGTGGTGGGGCCTCTGTCACCCACTTGGGGGAAGTTGAGTGTTGCTTTGTGGGAACCAGGTCTACAGTGCGATTTCTCTATAAATGGCCAGTGCACATCATTGCAAATCCTGCATTTGAGCGTCTGCCCTCTGATGGTCAGTGTGTGTCATAGTGACCGGTTGGATGGACACTTAGCATATTAGCCTTTTATATGTACAGATGTCACCCCAATATGTTCAATGAAAAAAAAAAAAACATTTAAAAAGACACTACAATTTTATTTTGAAATTATGATTATGGTGGTAACCAAGACAGATCTCCAAGGTCTCTTTAATTTTTTACTGAACAGCTACTGACCAGTATTTTCAGTTAAACAGTACATGAGTATTCTCTCCCATAGCCCTGATGTTTTTTAGTGATAGTTATGAATTAATTTATTTCAATGTATAAGCTAAAAATCAGATCTGAGGTCTAATGCTGCTCTAGGCTGCAGATTTGTTTAATCATATTTTTATTTTTATTTTTAATATATTTTATTGATTTTTTACAGAGAGGAGGAGAGAGGGATAGAGAACTAGAAACGTCGATGAGAGAGAAACATCAACCAGCTGCCTCTTGCACACCCCCTACCAGGGATGTTTCCGCAACCAAAGTACATGCCCTTGACCTGAATCGAACCTGGGACCTTTCAGACAGCAGACCGACGCCCTACCACTGAGCCAAACTGGTTTCGGCTAATCATATTTTTAATACAAGAGGTTGCAAAAATCTCAGATAAATAAGGCCAATTCAAAATGTTCCTGCAAAAACTGCAGAAGTGTGACACATTTCTGTTCTCAAGTGAAGAGCAAAGGAAAACTGATTCACTATAATGATTTTAAAACGTTGATATTTCCAGGATAGGGGCCCAGGAGTGCTGTGCTTTCATGTAGGTGGAAAGGAATCCATCCCCTCTCTTTTTAAAAACGCTAGTTGCAATCCTTAATGAAAATAAAACAAAGCAAAGCATTATCTTGTGCTTTGAAGAAAAACAAACAAAAAAGAAACATTAAATATCTCCAATGCTAAATCTTTCCATGTAGAAACAAAGATTCATAAAACAAGCAAAAACAAAACAAAAAAGCAATGGCTTTTCCATACAACCTTTAAAAAAAACTAAAACCTCATCCAAACAATGGAGAGATACTTTGATTCTAGAATAAAATATACTGTTGGTTTCCCATCTTTTTTTTTTTTTTTTGAGATTAAGGCAAGGGAGGGCACCGTTCAGTCTTCGCTCAGCATACCACCACCACCACAATTTCCTTGTCTTTTGCTCCTGGCAGCGCTAAATCCTTTAAGTCCTTCCCTGGAAGGCGCTCCTCCCGCTAGGGCAATTTCAGCAATAACCTTCCACGCACTCCCTCCCAAGCCCGCCTGATGCTGGAACCCTTGTATCTATTATAGCCCGTTTGGTCCTCTCCCCTCGCATCTTCCAAAAACTACTGCGGCTGGTAATTCACTTGCGTAATTGGCTCAAGAGATGAAAATCTTGTACCGGCCTCTCCTCGCTGCTAATCTGTCCAGCTGACTGCAAGCCTAATTGGCAGCTTGTTTAGTAATTTGGCTCCTAAAGTGTTGTATTGATGTTGGATAAGCAGCCGGTGGAAAGGGGAGGTGATGTGCTGCTTCCCACATAGTCTCCGTTGCCCCTTTCCATCCCTGTCCTGAGCTTGGCAAGCATTCAGTGGTCCACACCCACTGTCTCCCCATCCTTCCCCCCCCTGCACTTGACTAGCCAGCCCAGAGCCAGGGCTGGTATTGTTATTACTAGTGATGCTATTAAACCACTAAGTTATTAAACTGCCCTGTAGTGTTCAGTAACTCACTTAGGATCAGAGGTTTTGATGACTGTTAAAAAAAAAAGAAAGAAAAGAAAAGCAGCAGCATTAAGTACAGAAAGTGATAGGTGTTACAACTCTGTCAAATATTTTTATTATTTCGTTTGAAAAAATTACGAACCCGTATAATTGTTGGATGCTCAACCACTGACCCACACTGTTCAGGGCGACTTTTAATAAAAAGTGCAATGTTTAAAAATCTTCAGCCATTACTATAATTTACAACCTGCCTTCCGTGCCTTAAGTATTCAGGAAGGTTATTTTGTTACTAGACGCCTGGTGTATGAAATTTTGTATATTGGGCTGAGACCGGTTTGGCTCAATGGATAGAGTGTCGGCTTGGGGACTGAAAGGTCCCGGGTTCAATTCCGGTCAAGGGAATGTACATTGGTTGTGGGCACATGCCCAGTAGGGGGTGTGCAGGAGGCAGCTGATCGATGATTCTCTCTCATCGATGTTTCTAACTCTCAATCCCTCTCTCTTCCTCTGTAAAAAATCAATAAAGTATATTTTAAAAAACTTTGTATATTGGGGGGAATCCCGCAGCCCCTCACTTTTTACCGCCTGCCTGCTTGCTGCTCCTTAGCGAGAGCACTGACCACCAGTGGCAGCTCCTGTGTTGAGGCTCTGCCTCCTGGTGGTCAATCAGAGTGTCTGTTTGTTCCCCTGTTTGGTCAATTTGCATATTGGTCTTTTATTATATAGGATTAAACTTTCAGTAGAATGAAAGGAAATCGTTGAAAAGTCACAAAAGCTGTAATGCAGCCTCTTGCCAAGAACTTGCATGTTCATAAAAACACTGTTTATGCTAAGAGAAATAAGCCAGTATCGCATGATCTCACACACCCGGAAGTGGGAAGAGATTAAACAGGAACTTGTATGCACATATGCATAACCCATGGGCCTGAGGCGGGGCCAGGAGTGAGGTGCAAAGGAGCAAATGGGGAGAAAAGGGAACATCTGTAATACTTTCAACAATAAGAATAAATTTAAAACAAACAAACACTGTTACATTGGAGCAATCTCTAGACTGAGTATTAAACTTGAATACGTATCTTTTTGTATAATTTGAAATGTACAGAAAAAAGACTGATTCCTCTGGTGACTATTTTCCCTATGATATTATTTCACTAGAAATCAAAATAATAACAGCATTTTGATAACAATGAGTTCAGTAATGTATAGTGGACAAAACATTTAAAAAAAGATAATAGCCACAATAGCAATAAGCATATTTACATCTTTTAATTTTCAAACCCTCAATAAGCTGTGACTTCTACCACAAAAAAAGACCGTAACCAGAACTGCTGCCTGCCTTTTAAAAATGCCTTAATAGTATTCCTCCTATTTTGTTCACTGCTTTTCTTCACCTTTACAGATGACATTTTTCAAACAATAAAATGCATTCTGCTGGCAAGCCTTCCTGCTTCAACAGTTCTCAATTTTAGAATAGTAACTCTGCATCCTCGCCACGGCGACACCCACCGTGTCTCTGCCTGTGTGACTTTGAATGAGACAGGGAACAAGCCATACATTTAAAAAAATCAATACCCAGCCTTATCAATATTCATTTTGCTTTGTCAATACAAACTACAAAGGTGAAGGAGCAGTAAATAAGCTCAAGCACTGAAATAAACTTGGTGTTCCTGTCACAATTAATAAATATTCAAGCGATAATGCTGCTGGCTAGTGCACAGCCTTATGAAGCCATGAGCTTAAGCTTCATGCTGGTGCTAAGATGGGGTGAGCACAATTTTCAACACAGTAAGCAGGGAAAGATGATCGCATTTTGGGTTATTAATTTCATAAAAGACTTTAAGTCTTTTTAAAAAATAATACTATGTACACAACGTACAACTTTATATTTAGGATCCTAAATTATTGTGTTTAACCCAGTTTGGAATTATAAAATGAAAGTGCCTGATTTTTCTAACAATTCTTTTAGTGAATCTTTTCTTAACCTGCTGTTTGACTGCATAATAGTTCACATGTAAATCAGAGGGAATCATCAAACAATGTTCAAGCTGACAGGCTTTTAGCTCTTCTTCCATATTATAAATGAGAGTGATCTTCACCTGCTTTTTTCCAGCTTGGATGCAATGTTGATTTAAAGGCAGGAATTATGAAAAACATGTCTCAATTTAATGTGTTTTTTGAGAGGTCTACAAAGGGCCTATGAAAAGGTGAAAAAATTCTCTTTAATTCTACCTGCTAACTCAACTTTGGAAGCTCACAGATATAACTGACTCTTTATTATGTGACTGACTATATTCCAGAATTTGAAAATGACAATTTCAGAGACAAGACAATCTAGGATTCATGATCTCATTATCAAAGTATATTTATGCAAAAGCATTTCTTACTTGAATTCGAATAAGTCTTCACCTTGGAGTTGATTCATTAATATTGGAAGAAATGTTTTAGAAGCTTAGCTCTTTTAAATTACCTCACTCTCCTCCTCCTGAGAGGAACTGGTGTGCATGGATTTGAGACTGTTCTGGAAATGTGTGACACAGTTCTCCTGCACCACTGCTTTTTGAATAATCACAAAAAGTTCTATGAGTTTTATTCTTTAAGGAAATTTGAAGGGAAAAAATCTAATATAATAAAAATCCAGAATCTTAAGAAAATCACAGCAGTTTAGAGTATAACATCTGGAACATGCTGGCGTGAGCTTCTAAATGTTTTAGGCTAAAGTTTAATGTCTGGAATTATAATGTGAAAGGGCCTAATTTTCTGACAATTTTCAACACATACTCCATATAAGTGGTTCCCTCTGGCACTATGAATAGTAACATCAAAACCACCTCACAGAAATAATTATATCACCCTCCTTGACCATTTTGTATTTTCCTTCTCCCTGCACATTTTCCTTTTCCCTGAGAGTGTGAGGCATTACCCAGGTGTTGTCTGCTCCTTATTGCTGGCATGAAGGTGCTGCATGCACATTCCTACGATTGTTCTGTCTTTGCCACTAATCATTGAAAGACAAGAGAATTCAGGGGCCCATTCAAAGGAACAGGGCATTTTAAGAAGCCTGCATCTGCCTATGAAAGATTTGAACTGAAGAACTTATGACATGTGTTTGGTCTGAAATTGGCTATATGTTCCCATATAAAGATATATATTAGAAGTGCTCTAATTAATATTCTGTATCTCTGTACAGCAATATTTAGATGAATCTTCTATGAAACTTATGATATATACTAGTGTGTTCAAGTAAGCATATGCAATGAGATCGACTTCACATATATAGTCTTACAAAAAGGTCTTGACTAAGTGGTCCTAGACAGAACATGGGTTTAGCGGTCATGCAGGTGTGGGCTTGAAACCTCCCTTTGCCATCAATATCATAGATAGAGAAGAAGATCCTCACACTTCTGTGAATTTTAATTTTCTGGCATAAAGTGATAATAATGACCAGCTCATAAAGTGGTTGCAAGATAAAATGAAATAATGAAGTATCTGATAAACAGTGGGTACCCAGTCAGTGGTAAATATTATTCTACATCAAAAGAAACACATTCTACACACAGGTGTTCCCAATGTCCAATTTCTGAAAATTCAATACAACTAGAAGATCAGATATTATAACCACAGGCATAATTTCATAATGTAGTCCTTTATATGGATAAGGAAACTGGATAATGAGTGCTGTAATTTTAAATTACTCTTCCTTATTTTTTTAGAGAGCTATGGGATAGGTCCCCTAAATAGAGAATTTAAGTTTCACATCTTTCCCCCCACCTCAAAAATCTCCATATCAAGATTATGTGTGTATGTGTGTGTGTGTATAGATATATATGCATGTATATTATATATATTTATTTTCCCTTCTCACTGCTTATGCTGCTATTCACATGAATCTTATTTTCATAGCCTATAATTAATTGTGAAAAAAGTAAATTTTCCTACCAAGGGTTTCCCAGATGAAGTTAAGAGAATGTTTATAAATCTGGATGGTTGAGGACCCCATGCAAGAGACCAAGGCTGTTATTCTTTGTAACTGACTGAGTATCTGCCCTGAAAGTTTTCTCATGGTCATCGGGCTGCATCATATGCATGCCAACTGCTGCTTATTCCTATGTGGACATCCACTTCTTAATGCCCAGTGAGCTCCCGCTACCCCTGGTTCCCCATCTCTGCCTCCCTCCCTTACCACTGCTCTTGCGTGAGATTTCTGCAGTACATGCTCATCTTACTCCTCTCCCTCAGCCACGCTGGAGTCCTTGCTCCTCTAGAAAGGCTCCCTGTCCCCTCTGGTCCAGTGACTTCTCTCTGTCAGCACTTGTGGTTTCCCTGTGCCACTCTCATTAGCATGACATACTCTTCCAATGACATGGCTCTTCCGGTGGAAATGCTGAGAGATGTTTTATTCTGATGCGAACGTCATCTAATAAGGAATGACGACTCTGCCGAGCTGGGACTAGACACCAGACGGCCCCAGTCACGGCCAGCTTCCCATCTACTTGCACATGGAGGCTGAGTCTAAACTGTGTGTGTGTGTGTGTGTGTGTGTGTGTGTGTGTGTGTGTGTGTGTGTTATTTCAGAGAAGAAAGGGAAGGAGAGAGAGATAGAAACATCAGTGATGAGAGAGTATCATTGATCAACTGCCTCCTGCACTCTCCCCACTGGGCATTGAGCCAGCAACCCTGGCATGTGCATGACCAAGAATCGAACTGTGACCTTCTGGTTCATAGGTCAATGCTCAACCACCAAGCCATGCCAGCTAGGAGAGCCTAAACTTTTGTGTTTATTACTATTAATCTCTTCTGGGCTTATTTGCCTTTTATGCATCCCTCCCCCTGTCCCACAACAAGTCTACATTTCTTGAGGCTACAGAAACAGCCTTTGAAGATTGTGTGCCCTTTAATACCTCTCACAAAGCACTGCATTGGGGGCAGGTGTTTAGTGAAAACTTCATTGGTGGACTGCCTGAAACCTCTACAGAAGGAATGTGCATCCATCTTACACCAAATACAAATGATGTAACAGTTGCTGGCAACTGTGCCTCTTCTTTGGCATAGTGATTAAGAATGATCAGTATTTTGCCAAAACCAGTTTGGCTCAGTGGATAGAGCGTCAGCCTGCGGTTCTATTCCGGTCAATGGCACTTACCTTGGTTGTGGGCACATCCCCAGTAGGGGGTGTGCAGGAGGCAGCTGATCGATGTTTCTTTCCCATCGATGTTTTTAACTTTCTATCTCTCAGCCTACCTCTCTGTAAAAAAAATCAATAAAATATATATTTAAAAAAAAAGAATGATCAGTATTTTATTCTTGATGACTCATGAATTTCACCTGTGTGCTCCGCCCCCTTCCTTTTACCTGTTGTAGGCGGTCCAGGCAAGGGTGCTGCCTTCCTTCTCCGTTTGACATCTCCCATGAACAATGATCCTAAATGCATACTGGTTTGCCTGGGAGCAATTATCAGGAAAAAAACAACAACAACTATTAACAAAGGAGAAAAAGCACGATACACAAACACACAGCTTGTACAATCTGAACCTAAATCCAAAGGTTCTCAACCAAGATGGAGCGGCATCGTAAAACCACCAATCTTGTTTATATCGAAACATAATTACGTTTGTTGACAAGCGTTCAGCAGCTAAATGCGCCTCCATAAATTGTTACTGGAATGAATAATATAAAAGGAATGCTTTTTAATTTTCAAAACTGGCAATCTTTCTGGCTCAACATAAAATCCAGCGCTGTGGCTTCTGACAGGAAAATAGCGAAGATTAATTATCTAAAGAGATCACAATATTGTTGCTAGGTTATCAATTGGTTACTAATGCTTTACTGTCAGAACAACATTTATTACAGGAAAAGTATGATCAATTTCTTGGAGGATATTATGCGGCAGCGAATTCTCTTAAAACATTTTCAATAGGAAGAAGAAGGAAACAGTGATGCTCTCCCTTATAATTCATATGATTAGAATTCCTCAGTTAATTACCAGTTAGGTGAAGCAACATCCTGGGAATGCATTAACGCCGGTCTGCTGCTCTTGAGCAGGCTAATGGGGTATTGGATCATATTCGGAAAGACACAGCATATGAGAACCTTCTGCTATTCTTGGAACTAGTTAGAGTTAGATGATTCTGCCTCATCGTGGGTTGCTGAATTAAACAGATTTGGGGAAATCAGAAATTGCCCATTGGAAACCAAGACAAAGTAATATCAACATGGAAAGGATGGAAATGTCTTCAGATTCTTCAAGCTACAGAGGGACCTGTCCACTTCCTGGATCTCAGTCCCTGACATGGTTTGGGACTGTGTCTGGTGGTCATGAAGCAGAAATAAACGAAGCGTTTCATTTATGGGAGCACACGCTCTTAGTAATTCATAGAGATATGCAGTAGTAGCCTCAAGTTTTATAGAACCCAATTTGAAAACATCCAGCTTATTAGAGAAAAACGTAAAAGCAAAATATCAATTCAGTTAAGAACCCAAATATGTATTTATACAGATGCACTCAGGTGTTTAAATACTATGAAACCTTGGGAGTTATGGAATGAAATTAAATGTAAGTTCTGTCTGTAAGGTACAAAGTAAAGTACAATTAATGATCAGGCTAATTCAAGGGGCTATACACAACCAAAGAAATACACCTTGAAAATCTATCAGTACAGGATGCAAATGGGCATTTGTCTAGTTTCTTTTTCCGTTATATTGAGTGCATAGTGTTTTTCTGTAACAGAATAACTAATTATAATTATTTAAATATTTCAAGCCCTAGCTGGTTTGGCTCAATGGATAGATTGAAAACTTAGTTCACTCAGTTAGACTAACTTTGCAGAAATATATTATCACACATATATGTCAAAGTGTTCATTAACATGCATAACTAACATTTTTGTTGGTCTTTGTGGTGCTCTCTATGGCTCACAGAGATAAGGAAAATCAATGGTTATGATCACATCTACATTTAAAATAAAATAAAAAAAACACACAGAAATTTAAAATATAATTACAATAACAAAGAAGCAGAAGTAAACAAAGTACCAGAAAAGATACATCATTTTTATCCAAAATTAATGAGTTCACTGATTCTGCAAGTATTAATATCTACTCCTGACTTTGCATAAGATCCCACAGTGGTGGGGAAGATGAAGAGAGGAGACAGAAAATACCAGAGAATGAAATGTTTAAGTTCTATTGGGAGAGTTAAGTCTGAGCAGGGAGCTGAAGACATAGGGTCGGGAGTAATTAGGGACAGTGGTGGCAGTGGCAGGCACAACTGATATCATTAACTATTGCCAGAGATTTTACTTTTAGTCTTTATATAACAGGTGGCATTTAATGTGCCTTTTTTCTCTTAGTTGGAAAAAAAAAATCTGTGTTTCTATGGAAGACTATACTTGTAGAAGATACCCTCCCAGCCATGGGCGATTTCTTCTCAACTCCAAGTTACAGTAAACAGAAAGCAAAGGAAAACCATTCTTTCTAGAACCTGAAGACCTGAGCCATAAAAAGAACAGGCCACTGCAGTCCAGAAATTGTCAGGGACAGATTCCCTGCTCTGGTGGGGAGGGATCCAGACTACTGATTGGGAAGATTCCCCCTTTAGGCTGTCCTCTCCCCCTCATCCCTTTCCCTTTAGATGGTGCAATGGAGATGCTACAAACACCACCAATGAAGGTCTACCCTGTCATTTAATTGTCACTTTTCATGTAAAACATAGCAGTTATTATTTAATTTAAAATCAATGAATGTCTCAGAAACAGCCTGTTGCTTTGGTCTGAGTCGTTTGCCTTTGCAAAGCTGAGCACTTGGGTTATGAGAGGAGGCGAGAGTTGGCCATTTCTGTTTGTTTGTGTTTGGCTGTGCTGCTCTGACAAATGACAACTCCTTGTCCTACCAACAGACCCAAAGTCACTATAGAATAATGTTTAAGACCCTTTTGTAAAGCGCCGTATGGAAATTGCCAGTCAACCCTATCAGTGTCCTTGTTCAGAGGACTGGCTTATGATGGAGAAGAGGGCAGACCAATCCAAGCCTGATGATTCCGTATCTACTGACACCTTCAACACTGGGGGTCACAGACACAGTATGTAAGTGGAGAGGATAAAGGAAGAAGCCCTGGCATTTAGTTAGGACCTGAAATATGATTTCCCATACACACATTATTAAATTTCCTACTAAATATGAGAAAAGCAGAGCTCACAAAGAACTCACTTTTTTGCTTTTGAAACAGACTTCCCTTATGTATCCCATCATCCCTTTAGATAGTCTGGTGGTGGGAAACTGGCATGCTATCCAAAAGGAAAAAAATAAATAAGTAACAAAAAACAAGAGGCAGAAGGAGAAAGTCCCAGGGAGAACTACCTCGCCTGGAACCTGGCTTCTGACCTGGGCTCCGAGGACGGATGCAGCGTGTTAGACACAGTAGCCTTAAAGAGGAGACATTGGAGCTTATCTCTCTAGCCTAAGTGTTTACAAAAAAGAGGCTTTTCAGTTAGAGCTGCCCCCTGGATAGAACGTGTTCCCAAGCAGCCTCGACAAGCTGCAGAGGAGAGGCGAGCAGATGTGACTACGGGGCCGGGCATCTGGCAACAACACTCACTGTCAGTTGGAAAAATATCAGCCAGGACAGGGTACCAGCTGCACAGAAGTGAGGCAGGGCCACTATGTCACTGTGGGGGGCATCAGGCCAGCGGGAAGGGTGGGGGCTGGGAGACCCAGTCCCTGTCACTGCAGGGCCATGGGGCAGAGAGGGGGTGGGGGCTGGGAGATCCATCCTGTTAGAGGTCCTCTGTCTTAAATCCTAGGATGGCATCAAGTCCTTGTTTTTCCTGGTATTCGCTCTCAAAGCCCCTACTTGTGCATGAGGAACCCTTTGCGTTTGGTGTTGTCAGTCATACCCTGACCAGGTCTAGGGTCTTTTCTCTCTGGTTGTGGCCCCTGGACTTAACCATTCTGCCTGAGCCCATGACCCATCCCTTCCGAACGACCCTGACTTGATGAAGGGCACTGAACTGGGGACTGGTGGCCCATCACTGGGCCCCCTGCTCTATTCTGTCTTACTCTCTCTTGTCACAGCCCTTCTGTGTGGTGGCATTCTGTGGGAGTGTTCCTCTCTATGCCTCTCACTGTTACTGCATTTTATTTGTACCACGAGCGTGCAACCACAAGAGATACAAGTCGTAGCCAGGTGAATTAGAAAGTAGCCAAAAATGCAAGTGAAAATGAGATGAATTAGAAAGTAGCACACAATGGAAGTAATAACAGCGAGTGGTTAGGGCAGCTGAAGGGATTTGGCGACCAAAGGCAAGGTCAGACTGTCCACACAAGGAGGCTGGGGTGTGTGCTCAGCTGTGGGTTCTGGGGCCTCATGTGCATGTGGGATGAGTCAGGGGGTCAGAACTTGACATCCCCCCCTCCCCCAATGCCTCAATTTCTGCTTCCTCAACCAGATCTTGGAAAAACACAACCTGTCCCCATTTTGGTCCATGTTGGAGGATGTCTATCCATCAGCAGCATGTGAGACTTAACTCTTCTGACTGAAGTCTTTGCATTACTCATTTTCATATCCGTGTCATCCATTGAAGTGTACCATAATATTTGAAAATGTTTGTTGAATTAATTTTCTTATTCTAGTCGCCTTATATGTGACTCTAAACCAAGATTCAGGTTCAGTTCTGTTCACTTAGAACAAACGGGTTAAGAATATTAGGAATATCTTTAATGCAATTAATTATAGATATTATAAATGGCAACCATATCAGGCTAGGGAATTTCGTAGTGCTGTTACCAGAATGTGGGATTATGTCTGATTATACAGTCTGATTGATTTTTTTTTTTTTTAATGTAAGGTTCAAGTACCAACATCCCATTTTAAAAATGTAGACACAGATCTTCTTGCATTTAATGGAGATATCCAAGGGAATTATGTTCATTTTGAGTACTTTTTAAAAATCTCTCCTAAGTCAACACTAGATTCATTTTATCATTTTTAAGGAAATTAGAATAAACTTATTCTTAAACTAAACAAACTGGACGGGGGCGAGTTTCTTTCTTTCACCATCTTCAGGGAATGATGGAATGAAAAGGGCAGCAAAGAAGATATTTTCTTACTTTATTATTATTTTGAATCCATGTAAGTCTTTGAGTTGATCAGATGACTTACAGGGAACATCCAAGCTTACTGAGCACCAACGATGATGCTAAATATTTTCACATCCTTTATCTTGTTTAATCCTCCCAATAACCTAACCCCTCATGGTTCTGAGGCACCCGGAGTCCGGGAAAGCTGTTACTTGTCCAAAAAAAATCACATACACAAAAAATGAAGGGATTGCAGGTGAGCCAAGAAATGCTTGCCTCAAAAGAATCACTTTTTGCCTCTTCCTCACTACATCATTCAGCTGAGTTTATTATCCTCCATTTAATAAATGTCTACTGAGAATGAAAT